ATTATAAAGGTATAATTAAAGATATAATTATTTTTTCATCTTTTTGATTTCACATTTTGTTGATTACAGTATCTATAATTAATTAATTTAATTAAAAATTTAATATAATTAATATTTTCCTAACTTTTTCTATAAAATATAAGAAATTTTGCGATTTTCACAAGAATAACTTGCGAAAAAATGCGTGTATATGTTGAGTTTTCTAAATCAATGGTATTTCGGAATCGGGGATATTTTCGCCATGTGTCATCCTCCTTTCTATCAAACTCGTCTCGCATTCCTACGCTGGAAGGACATCTATCACACCCTCGACATTCGCAATTGAGTGTGTTGCATCGGCGAGAAGTCTGACCAACGACGAGCAAAGATAGACAGAAAGACGTGCGCCTCAAGAAAACGAGAAGGGCGAAAAGAGGACAAAGTCCACGATGAACGAGGATACGTACACGTTGGAAATTCTTTTTGGTTTAGGTATGCCAATATATCGCCTTCCATCGTCACCCCTCCGGTCACCTCCGAGATACGTGACTCCTCGTAAGAATGCACCCACCATCTCGCCCGATGGGCTAAACTGCTGGGGTTAAAATAAATAATGTTCACGTTCCGTCAAAATCGAGTCGATACGTGAATTCCCATCTAAACCAACCCTAGACTTATCAACCCCTAATCCCTTTCGAGTACAATACCCGATCTTAGCATGAACTTTCTCGATCGCGATAAATTCTGGATATAGATAAATAATGCTATTAAACTCGATTCTATTGTTATAAAAAAATATTTTGAATTATAATAATCTAATATTCAAGTAAAAATTAATTTCTTGCACGTTTATAATCGAGAAAAAAATATGTTCTCACGTTTATAATCGAGAAAAAAATATTCTCTTAAATTCTGTTAAAAATTAAATGTTTCTTCCTCACGTGAAAAACATGTGGCTGAGTTGATTTGAGTGGACTTGTCATTTCTTATGAAAAAAAGACTCTGGCTTCCTCGAAAGGTTTGCCAGGGAAATTCGCTGCAGATTCGCTGTCGAAGGATATTCTAGGAAGGTCGAGGTGTTCCACGAGCCCGTTGACTCTCGCCTCATATAAATCAATGTCTCTCCGTGGCACACCGCGCATATAACACCGTAATGTCGTCCAAAGGCCTCGATATATTCGCAGGAGGGTCGCGCCCACGGACTTTGAGGTCATTCCGACATACATCACTGACGTTGTCAACTCAATTCTCCTTCTTGCGTACTTAACTTTCTTTGTATATTCAACTTTCGTCCGGCTGTTCACGGCAGTCAAGTGGATTCCATAGCCAGTTTGTTTGCGAACGTATTAATGTTGATCTTTTTGCCATATTTGTAACTGCAAATAATTAAGAAATACAGAAAAGGAATAAGAATAAAAAAAACAGAATTAACAAACTTTTAATCAAATAGTAAACAATAATTAGAGAATAGAAAGTAAAGGTTTCTTAAGTAATTAATAATTGTAGCAATTCAGTCCGTAAAGTATCAGTATATAAAATACTGGAAATAGCCATTCTTTTTTTTTTTTTTCGATACGTGATCGAAATAGAGCTTCGGGCTTTTGCACGGATCGTTTTATTTTAAAAATACAAGCTGGAAGCACTGAATTGATCGCATAGATTTGACAGCCTCGGAATCGAGGTCGTTGCGGCGTGTCGTGGCCCGTTGGATTTCAGAATGGTGCGTGAGCGCGCGAGACGAGGGTGAAACAAAGCGAGGGTGTTGAACACAACTGATGTTCACTTATTGGCGGCGTGTCTGCCGGCATGGTGCAGTTACTCATGGACCGCAGACGCGCGCTCATGGATTCTACTTCCCTCTTTCTCTCATGCGTGAGGATGTGTGTGTGTGTGTGTGTGTGTGTGTGTGTGTGTGTGTGTGTGTGTGTGTGTGTGCGCTCGTGGAAAATGAAATTCTCGTGAAATTTAGATTTTTTTTAATAAATTGAGTTATTCGAATACAAAAAAGTACAGTTTGTACTTTTAAATTAATTCATGATGTTGATGAAATATATATTGTTTATTTATGTAATTAAGCTAACTTTTTACGAATCAGTAGTGCCCGCAATTTTTTGCGAGATTAATTCGGCAATTTCCTAGATTACATTTATGCGCGTTAAAAGCGCGGCATCCCGACATCTCCGTCCAAGTCCCGAGGATCGCGTGTTCCTACTTCGAATAAAAGATGAAGAATGATGAAAAACCACAAACGCCCTTCAGCCGCCTTAATTCCCTCGTTTAACACGGCGTTCCCCGAGGGAATTTCACTGCGCATATTTTTTTCATATATTTTTTATGGGTAGAAAAGAATGCGTCGTAGCATTTGACATAGTGCAAACGCATAGTTTTTGCGCTTCTTCATACTTTTTCAATCTTTGAATAAAAACTTGTTGACATTAAACATTTTAGAAAGCAAAGGTCTTCGATGTTTGTAAAAAATATAAAAAAAGTTGAAAAAATTTTAAAAAACAGAAATGTTGAAGTGTTTTAGAGAAAAATATACGAGATTCCGCGCAAAAAAAAAACATAATACCGATGCTATTGATCAAGTTTTCTCGGTTACGCAGCGCGAAACGACGCCGCGGCCCGACGATTTAAGGGCGAGAGCGCGGACCACGGTCGAAATTATGCAAACTGAATGAAGATAAAAATACACAATGGATAGGGCGCACGCGATATTACGTATTACACGATGAAATCTTATTTATGGACGCCCCGGTGGACCCCACTCTGGCGGATGCGAGAGCGGCTCCAATATTTTACCTCATCGGTAAAATAAGAATTCATATCCGTGTGCGGTCCCTTTGTGCGACCGTTATCCCTCCTCCCCCCCCTCCTCTCTCTCTCTCTCTCTCTCTCTCTCTTTTTCTCGTCCTCCCTCTCTGACCGAGTTCCGGCAAGTTCTGGAAAACTGCTCGAGCATTTTCGTAACGAGCATTTTCGTAACGTCATCGGACTTTCGTGCATCCGACGCCAAATTGACGCTTTCTTACGACCGTGATGTAAACCATGAAGAATTTAGACTGAAACATGCGATCTTGTGCCGGCCAGTGGCGGCGGCGGCCATAGTCGCCATGCTTCCAAGAAACGCGCCGCAAGATCCTTTAATTAATCCCGAAAAGGGATGATCACCGGAGTATCGCAATGAAACGGCTCTCGGCACACCGAGCGTCATTTGCATGAAAAATATTTCACACCGTGGAACTTTTTGCCTGACATATTCGCGAAAATTCTGCAATATGGAATTAAAAAATTTGTGCCAGTACCTTTTATGTCGCATTAATTTTAAATATCTGTGCGATATTACCCCCTGGAAGCATTTTTTTTTCCTTTCGTCGTTCGTATTCACGTTTCGATAATTTCTTTTTTTTTTTTTAACACGAAATTCTCTCTCGCCTGCGGGCGAGAGAACGGAATCGTTTAATCTCCTCATAGAAAAATCGCCGCTTCCTTCCAGCGCGCGAGCATAACTGCAGTCGTAGCTATGGTCTATACGAGCCATCTTTTTGTACATGTGGCAGCCTAAGCGGCGAGCTGCATTGTGCAAACACGTAGCGGCAATTATTATTATTTATTGCACATTTTGACCATAACCACTGACTTTCCTCCGTCCTTTTTACTCCTCGCCGTCAACCTCCCATTCGCCATGGGCGGTTACCAACTGCTGCGGCACGATACCTGTCACTAAGCTCACAGATGTTATGCTCGGATAAAATCAATGCTAGTACAAGTCACTATGCGCGATTGTCAGGAACATTTATTTGCCGTAGCGAAGAATGACGGCGTCATGTAAGGGATAACGCGTTGAAAAAAATGATATTGTCTTTTTAAAACAAACAACATAGAGATAATATGCAATAGATTTTTTAGAATTTTTGTATTCAAGTAATTAATACTCTCGTTCTCTCTCTCTTTTTCTTCTTCTTTTGCTAAATTTATTTTCGTTATCTATCCTGGAATTTAACGGAAAATCTAGTTTTCGAAACGACATATATCTTTGTGGTTTTATAGATATTATTTTCGTCTCAATTTTTTCCTTTTTTTTTTTTTTTTTTTTTTGAAGCGATAGCATGCTAATGTAATTTAAGTAAGTTGCAATGGGATCAAGTCAGGTGGTTAACCTTGACCCTAAATAAATAGTATCGGAAATCCTAACCCCTAACCCAAGCGACAGCCGTGAACTTTTGCCCGCGCAGTACTATGTGCGAAGACTTTACATTGTTTGCCTGCACGAATTATTCTATGCCGTCGATTTTTCCTGTGCCGACTTCCGTTGTTGGGGTCATTCAACAGGAAATCGCTGCCCGAACGGATGATTCTTCGTTATGTTAATCGCGCCTGAAGCAGAATATTAGAGTTGGAATATTACAAGAGGCGTATCTCACGTTATATTTGTTTTCCTCGACTAGTGTTGTGAAGTGTTTGATTTTTTTAATTTCTAATAAGCAAAAGTTAAAGATTAATAGAAAAGATCAATTTAAGGTAAGAATAGCGTGGAAAACTATATTTATTTCATGAAATGATTTATTTTCTTATGACAATTTTAAAAAGAGTCAAAACATTTATTATTGGAAATTTTTTGTTTAATATTCAACATTTGATAATTGAGTTATTATTATTTTATTTTAGATCACCTGTATTTGTCGTGCCAAATCTATGAAACTTTAAGAAACAAAAAGATTAGAATGACAAATTAGGACATATGATAACAGAAATATCAACTCTCAAGCGAACTTGATGAAATCTTAACTCGCGTGTTTTTAATCGACATGGTTAATATAACTTGAAATAACCGTCGTGAATTTGTAATTATGAATAACTAAATCGCATGCAAAATGTTTCGCTATGATATTTTTAGAAGAAAAAATTCGTACTCTCACAAGAAACAGGGTTCAAAGTTATTTTTATCAAATATAACCAGATCTAATTTAATGTATGAATTTTCCGAAAGGAATAGCGTGATGATTGACAATTGATCAGAAAACAATTTATTAGCGTGTTTGTGGATGTGTATTCTTTAAATTTCTCGGCTAAGTAAATCACGATAAATATTATTAATTATTGAGCATAAAACTTGCGTTACTGAAGAAATAAAAATCGCATCTTGTTTGTCTTGAACGATAAGTGCATGAGAATACGGGCTTTTGACTTCGGGAAAACTTTGCTGGCGCAGATTAATTAAGTTTTGCGAGCTTAATCGCCATTGGGACAAATTACCAGCAAGAAAGCGGCACCGCTTTAACGCATTAATTCGACGCGCGACCTCAAAGTTAGTCACCAACTCCTTTCCATTCTTCCTTCCACGGTTTAATAAACCTAGTGACTTTGCTGCATGCGGCATTAACCCAGGACGTGACCGACCGTCCATCCGTTCTTGGTTTTTCGTCTATCCTTTCTCATCCGCTCCGCTTCTGTTCACTCGCGCTATCGAAAATTCGCATTCTTAAAAAGAATTTACCTTCCAAATCGCATGTCGCAGATAATAATCATTTGTTTGCCTAAAAAAAGACTGTGTCTCATGTAAATTGAACACTTTACGATACTTCTCATATATAAAAGTCATCTTCATTGTCTATTTCGTGCTTGTTCCGGCAACGTCAAAGCTGACAAGTGAGAGCTTGCGCCATCAAAGAGCTTAATTATAAAGAAGAGGAGCTGACCTCGTTAACGAAATGACTTAGGCCAACCTTCGAGTTTCACACATTTTTTACCCTGTTCAACGCGACGGAAGAGCGAGTGCGAGCGAGATGGCAACCTGGTTTCGAATTAGGGTGATTCCGGCGCTTGCTCGGTGTTCCGCAAGGATGTGTGCCTTGTTAATCCCACGGTATTTCGCCCTAGCGGAATATCGTAATTATATTAGTACGAGCACGTCGAAATTTTCTCGCGAAATTCCGCGCGGAAGGGTAGTCGCAGCCCCGCTTTTTCGCGCTCAGCCGCGCGAAATTTGCCGGTCTTCGTCACAGCGCTATTTTCATATGGGAAAAGAGCGTGCGCATAAGCATCAATCGCGAAAGTAAATACACACACACATATGTATGTTTTACATGTATGGTTTCGTTTATTTGTAAGAAAATTCAGTGTCTCTAATAATTTATATTTTTCAAGAAATAGAGGCGATCAGAGATATAAATAGATTACTTGAGGTGAAGAATTAATTTAACATTGTAGATCCGCAGATCTCGAATTTTTATTAAATTACTCAATCACACTTTTGTTACTGTGTACTCTGTATAATGGTCGCGTGAGCGATACTTTCGCGGCAAATGATCGTGTTCTTGCGCGAGTCCAGGAACCGTGCACGGCTCGAAACAATTTCGCCCCTACACATAATGGT